TCTGAACAGTAGTGATGTACACATGTAATGTGATAATATATAAAAGACACATGTCGTTCCTGCGGGCAGCTGCCTCAGCAGTCTCAAGAAGATGCTGGAGATGATCAGCTTTCTTCTGCTTCAAAACCTCCGCATGTTTCAAGGACCATGTGTGATGCATGTGTGCGAGCTTCCAGGCCTGAAAGCAAGAACCTAGATCGATCACGCAAGTTCTGCAGAGCACGGCGGATGTCCCATTTGTTCCTGATGCCGCTATCTTGCAAATGAACGACAGGAGAAGGGACAGGTGAGAAATGACTTCGAAAAATGTTGGTGAGGCCCTGATGAATGTGTTCGAAGTTCCCATTTTGTGGCCATGCAGTGGACCGCAAAAACTCTTGTGAATCATGACAAAATTGGTTCCATTGTGCACAATCAATATGGCGAGACTGCCTACAACGTTCTTTAGCCTGATATCCAATATTTGACAGGGTGCAACCTTGTGTTCGAATCCATCGAAGTGGAATCGTGCCAAAAACAGGGAGATGTCCTTGCGTGAGCTCTGGATGGCAAGAAAATGCGAATGTGCATGAGCCTACCCGCCATCAGTTCAGTCCATCCTATTTGATCACTCGTACAGAAGCTAGACTTGATGCATGTCACAAGGCCACACGAACGGTGAGGGTGGCCTGAGGATGAGATGCAGTGCCATCCATTTTGACTCCACATACGAGACCCTTGCCAACGAGTTTCAGTGAAGACCAAAATCTGGACCTGCTGGGGCTCAGCCCACTGAAGGGCTTCTGCAAGGGCAGCCGAGGTAAGGCCACTCGTGTTCCAAGTCAAAACTCCGCAACGATTCCTGAGCTGTGTCGGAGTTCGAAGATGGGCACTGCTTGATGGCTGAAGCAGGGACTGGGGCGGTGTGACAACGATGACATCCAAGTGAGGCAGGCGTGACAATGCGTCCATGATACCATGTGTACCCCCAATCAAGTGCTCTCTTCTGTGCACGTCTCAAGCTACGTTTCTTATTAGAATCCCCTTTGAGGATCTTATACGGGGAAGATGCGTGGTCATGTGCATTCGTGACTATGCCAGCAAGTTCATACTGAATCCTAGCTAAAGTCACTCCAGCCAGCCCCATGACGGGCTGACAACCCTCGCTTTTCACATTCGAAGTGCGGCGCGTGGAGGTGGAGATACGTTCGAATGTGCTGCGGAATTGGGACCGCAGACTAGCCGAAGCAAGAGGATGGCGTCCAGTGCAATTAAGGGGCAACGAAACTCCAAGAGGCACGAGGAAAAGCCAGCAGCGCAGGAAGCGCATCAGCCAGCTTCCAGCGGCCAGCAGGCGCGCGTCAGCGCCCACGAGAGCCCGCCATGTGCCCTCCCACGCACCGAAGGCCCATTCTATTCAGGCCCTGGCTAGAAAAGCTTAACAACAACAACAACGACAACAACAACAACAACAACAACAACACCAACACCAACACCAACACCAACACCAACACCACCACCAGCAACAACAACAACAACAACAACAACAACAACAACACCCACACCCACACCCACACCCACACCCACACCAACACCAACACCAACACCAACAGCAACAGCAACAGCAACAGCAACAGCAACAGCAACACCAACACCAACACCAAGACCAACATCAACACCAACACCAACACCAACACCAACACCCACCCACCCACACCAACACCCACCCACCCACACCAACACCCACCCACCCACACCAACACCCACCCTCAAAGTCACCAACCCACAAACCCACAACCCCACAGCAGCAGCAGCAACAACAGCAACAGCAACAGCAACAGCAACAGCAACAGCAACAGCAACAACAACAACAACAGAGCAATATACATCAGAGTACAACAAGCCGGGGGCACCGATCGGGAGGAAAAAAAACGCACACGCCGCAATCAACCAAGAGTTGCTACCTGAACAGGCCCCCAAAACTCACACAATGGATGTCAAACACCTTTGTGGCCACGGAAGAAAGCCAGGTAAGGGATGGAACGCGTAATCGGATACCCGCATGATGGTCGCGATCACAACCGCACGCGCAGCTTTCAAGCCGGCCAGGTGCTTGACACCAGAATTTGAGTGCTTGAGAGTGGTGAAGAAGCAGGCAAAAAAGTTAGACTTTGTGCCACCAAGGCCTGGCACAATGGCAGCTTCCACCGCTGTGCGCTGGTGGAATATCATCGTGTTTGGGCCGTGGGTCAGGCTTATACGACGGCACGTTGACCTCCCAGGTGGTCTATTCGGATCACTTTGGGCGGTCGCACAAGGCCCCCACCCACGCCCATTTCTATACATCTGCGCGCTTATGCCTTCAGGATGGTGTTTGTTCATGTCACGTCCGTTGATGCAAAGATGACTGGTGGACCCTTGTGGCCTGAACCAGTCTTGAAGGAAACGTGAGCACAGTTTTTGAAGCGTGCGGACGCTTACCAAAGACTCAAGCAGATCATCAAGTAGATGGAGCGACGTACGTGGTGAAGCTCCAAAAATTAGAGTATCACCAGCAAATCGTAAACCAAACAAGCGGGCAGGCCATTTTGCAAGTCTAAGCAGAAAGCCTCCACGGTTTGTCTCCAAAGGCTCGTGGCGGCACGAAACAAACGCGGGCACCAAAAAAAGACAAACCCTGACGAAGCACCTGACAATTTCAATTTGTGACAGGTTTCGGGTGCCAAACAAAATGAACAAAACAGTCGTCGGGCCTTGACCAACACCATTCAGTACAAACCCGTGCGCGCGAGGTTGGTGCGCCAGTTTTGTTCTGTACACGGGCCATGCTTATACTGTTTGTACCGCGTCGAGGGATACATGTTGCCATTGGTGGTGCCACAAGTCGGAAAAACCAACATTTTCGGAGTCAGGGGTTTCGGGGGGTGAGACTGAATTGAAAACGCCGAGGCTGCGACCCTGTCATGCATGAGCGGCCGTCGAGTTCGAGCTCACGACGTGCAAGGGTAAGACCACGGAAATGCTACGGCAACCGATGATGGATTAAATACGATTGGGGATGTCATTTGTTTCATGCAAGGCACACACCGGACAAACCTCCACCTTCAAGGTCAACAAGGTCAACAAGGTTTGAGGTTGGAGGGGTTGGAGGCCACATCCCTTAATAGAGGTGATGACCTGATGATGGATGCTGAAATGATATGATTTGGTATGAACACTGAAGCCTTGAGAGCGGCACCTTTTGTGAACTATAGGTGATAGAATGTGATACATTTTTAGAAAAAACACATCAACAAATTGTGGAACAAATGATGCTGACCAAAAGGTGTTGGATGCTGGTAGTTCGTCCTGTTTAACATTCCATGTGCAGTCTTTTTTTGGGGGGCGGAGCTTGCTTAAGAGGGGAAGCTGCAGGCTTGAATTCGTTTAGCCTTGGAGGCTCCAGGGGGGCTTGATTAATCAAGGTACTTAATCCCGTGTGCGCATTTGTCATTGCCTTTGGGAAATAGTCGTGCGAAACGCGTCCAACGGCGTCCGCTCTAGGAGCACGGGCACGGCAACAGGATTCAGTCATACACCGGCTATTTCCTCAAGACACTCTATTCCTTATACCTTTTACCAGTGCTTATCCTACACTACGGACGCCCTAGTGTATGTACAGCCCTTGTGATGCCAGAAATGCTTACCCTTCCTTCCGACTCAAGGCATACATAACGGGGGGCAAATTTACCCTCCAGATTTGCCGATCGCACCTTCGTGCCCGCCAACGAGTGCACCCGGGTTGTTCCAATGTACCCTTCCCAGTCGGCGATGTCACATTTACATTCTTTAGCACAAAGTATGTACATAACAACCTTTCTCCCAAAACATGTCGACACTACATGCTTTGCCGACTATGTAAATAGTACATCCGGTGCGATTCGGCTAGCTTTCGACCTCCTCACCCTGGCCTCAAGTCATATCATATCATGTAATGTCATGTCAAGTCATATCATGTCATGTCATGTCGTGTCATACACACATTTTTTCCCTCCCCCTCTCCTTCCCTGTAGGGGTGTGAGTGTACGAAAAAATTGGATCAGGTGTTCGATGTCCTGTTAGTTGTTTGTGCAGGCTTTATAGTTGTAATGAACAGTGGGTGGCTCACAGTTCCAAGCCAAGACTGGTTCCCCCAACGCGCTCCGACACCTCAGTTGGAGGTTTGTAACTGCACAAGTATTTCAAGACTGGAGGGACACACACTGTAGCACGCCAAGGAATGTGTGATCAAAGGGTTGCAGAAAAGGCGGACAAACAAGTGCTCAACAAACAAACGCCACAGGCTCTCAGGAATGCAGACTTTGTAGCCCAGAACATACTCATGAGCTCATTACAAAATTTTTCGTTCGTCAAAGAATTGAGATGCCCCGCCTTTGCATTTGCTGCGCCAGCATCCGAAGTGGCCGTGCGCTTCATTGGGCCTTCAGCAAGACAGTGAGTAACTGAAATGCAAAAAAAATCAGTTTAATCGCCCCTCAGTGCTTTCCGTATTGTGTGTGCGCACTCTTGTGACCACATTGCTCACCCGTAAGAATATAGGTCATCGCCGAATGAAAGTAACCGTGCCCCCCAAAATGGCCTAGCTTTGTTTAACGCATGCGGAACGAACAGTCGCATCCGATGTTTATATAAGTTGGCCGTGCGCAATGGTAAGGAGGACCCCCGTATAGGTACCTTGCACAATGCAATGGTGGTTTCAATGGGCTTTGTGGTTTGCAGGGGGTACACGAATCAAAACCACACAATTTTCCATATTTTCGGCATTTTTGCATTAACTTTTTAATGTTTGGCCGTTTGCTCAGGAATACTACCTAATGTGTTCTTTTTGATAACGGAACCATTCTGTCGGGCAAGTTCACACCAAACGCTTACGTTGTGCCGTTTTGGTTTGGCTTAGGTAGCTTTTAGGTAAGGCATAGGCTATGCGCGTGTAGCAGAAGGGCGTGAGTGCCCGACCCTGCTGTGGGAGACAGCCTGCAAAAATGAGCAAGCCCCGACCTCAGTGACAGTGCAGTATGCACAGGGAAATTGGAATGCAGATCTTCCAAATTTCCGTGTCAACATCAATGAAATGGTTGGACGTGTCTTGTGACAGACTCCGTGCAATGTCGCACAACTAAGGCCTACGGCGCCCAAACCCACTGCTCCAGCCGGGGGTGCGCCACCTTGCCGCCCAAACATCTCTTCGCATTTCTTTAGGTGTTTGTGTGTCGACGAGGTTCTGCTTGGCGCTATTATGCCTCCACGGAGGCGCGTGCGCATCGCTCCGGGCGGCAGGCTGCTGGAGCGTCGCTTCGTCGTTTCGGGTCGCAAATTGTCGCAGGTGTTGGGCGCGGAAGGGGCGGCTGGTCTTGTTGGCATCTTTGCGTCCTGAGCTCGGTGAGCGAACTGCGAGGAATGCGAGGGGACGTTGGGAGACAATGGGTTTGGCTCGAGGCTGGTGGCATGTGGACATGGTTCCCAAAAAAGAACTATTGAATGCAAAGTCAGATGAACAGTGAACGAGAGATAGGCTAGTTATGGACATCATGTCGGAATCATGCCAGTGAATGTTTCCTCTTAAGACAGATCAGTGTTTGGCTTGCTGCAGTTCTGGTGCGCTTCTCTGCCGTGGATACTGATGTAAGCAACTGTTAGTTGGGGCAGTGGAACGCAGGACTGAAAGACTGACGATAATGGGGTGGAACTGCAGCATTTTTTGGGGCCAGAGGGCTTAACTGAGCCATGGCATTTGTTTGGAGCTGTCATGGATAATGCAGCTTTTCAGCAGTGCAGGCTGGATGCGCATCGGCCACCGTGGACCGTGAAGGGGGAAGTCACAGTCGCCAAACAAACGACGCAATCCTGTACACACTTGTCAGACCTCAGATGTGGGTGTGAGAGCGCTTTAGAGGGACATGTGTGCCTCTGTATGTGACCGAAATGCCCCTATGCTTTGTATCCACAGCTTGGTGACGGTTTCAACGCCTTCATGCTGAACCAATCAAAAATACTGGATGCCACGCAGCCAGTACGGAACAGCTGCCTTCGCGCTGCGAGCACGAGTTGCGAAGAAACCTGTTTGCTCACCCAGCTGCAGCTGGAGTGTTTGGACTGACTGAGTCCTTTCTTCGCTTATGCTGGTTGAGCAGCCTGCTGTGGTGTGTGGCGCATGCATTTTTTGGTGTTTGTTGACCAAGTACTTTCGCTCCGACATTCACAGCATCGTTGAAGATGTGGGTGGCGCCACACAGCTAGGGCCAGCTAGGTCTAGCAGCTAGGTTTGTTCTTGATGATTCATGCGCGCGCAGGTGAACTAGCCCTGGCGTCATGTGGTCCCTTTTCAGCTCGTCATTGTGCTTAGGTGTGTTTTCCCCGATTGGACTGTAGAGAGGCACACATTTTTGTTGGGCGCCAGGTATGCGAAAGCCACCGCGGGACGCTTGCTGCATCCGGTCGCCAGTGCTGCAGCCGTAAGCCGTGGCGACCACCACAGAGACACCTTCCATGAGGCTGGGGGAAGCCAAGAAGCCTCTCAAACAGGGCTTGGAGTGGATGATGCAAGCGTGGAAATCGAAGATAATATTCTCTACCAACAGGGGTGCCTCATGTCAAGGAAAAACGCCTGAGTCATACACAAAAAGAACCGTCTGGCACAAGAGATGGGTGCAGATCCGGTTTGGGGCCGCATGTATGCAACTTAGGGTTGAGGACGAGGCGGCTTGGGGGAAAGCCGGCTGTAATTGTCAATGCCATCGCTGAAGGCCACCTTCACGTCCCACTTCGCCAACTGGATAAAGTGGGATTGTTTGGTCGTCGCACAATCATTTGGGTTCGAAGGGAGACCCCAGGGTATGGATGCAAGTGGGTTGTTGCATCTACCATCACCACTTTCTTGAGACAAGGCCTGGCAAGCGCAAATCCAAGAAACCGTGCCTTGCACGCGCACTGCTGGAAGATCACTCGCCTGGTAGTTCCTCCCCTTCCTTTCAAGGTCTCCCTTGGTCCGACGCTTCGGCTCAGGCGTGCGCGTCAGAGGCCATGGTGGGGGGAAAAGCCCCCCACGGCGTGTGAGTCGGGTGGGTGGGGGGTATCAAGCAACACATATCAATAAATAGGTCGTAGAATCGAAGAGTTATCATTATCAAATACTTTCTTCGGGTCACCAAATGGAGCGGGTGCCTCTTGAGCAACTCCCATGCTCGGACATGTGTTTATGGATGTGTGGACGACAGCCCCCCTGGCATTGTTGCTGCTAGCTAGCTGCTATGAAAGAGGTTTTGCAAATTCTTTTATCCTTGTCGAGTGATGCACCTGGTGCATCGCTTGTCGATTGGGGAGGAGATTTTGGAGATCTTCGGGGCGAAGCTGGGTGATTGGCTTTTGATCCTCCCAGCGCTGGCCTTGGACTCGCCCTGCTGGGTCAAACTGGTGGACAGCAAGGAGGTGGTGGCGCTCACCCCGCCACCATGGCAGAGAAAGGAGAAGATGTGCAACAGCAGCAACAGCATTGTTGTGTTTTTTCAAATTTGTGGGCCAAGGGCTCACATGTTTTGTTGAAGTGCTTCAGCTGTTCCATTGTGGTTTCGGTCTTGTCTCAACTCATTGTGACCGGCAGGAGCTGCCTTTAATTCACCTCCCTGCTGGTTTGTTGGAGCTCCTGGGTGCGACTGTGGGCCGCAGCGAGATCTCCTTGGCCTGGCAGGAGGGCCTCCGGCCCCCGGAGGGGCGCCGCTTGCTGTTATCCTCGGTCGCCACGTCCAGCTCGTCCAGCTCATCCTATCGGGAGGCCGCGCTAAAGAGCTTCTTCCACGTGCCCCGGACCTTGCGGCTGGGGGAGGTCTTCTCAGTGCCGCTGCATGGCTTGTCCGAGCCGCTGCGGGCGATCGAAGTAGCCCAGAACCCCATGGAGAGCCGAGTCTTTCCAGACTTTGAAGCGATGGAGGAGGAGGAGGTCTACCAGATAGCTCCACATTTAGGTTTTCATGAAGGTTCGGCCGTGGACCCCCTTCACGGCTTCGCTTTCTGCCAGCTGTTCAGCTTTAAGGTGGAGATGGTGGAGGGTGCCAGCGAAAGTCGGCATGGCAACCAAAGCTTCCAGATCAACCAAAGTGCTGAGATCATTCTGAAGGGCAGTTGCAATGCACGGGGCGTCCCTTACATCAGCAGCCACCTCTTCTGTGAATCTCCTCCGCCCATCTTGCCATCACTGCGGCAGCCGATGGAACGTTTGCTTGGAATCTTGGCTCCAGTGGTTCGGTCCTGGCAGCTCCACGGTTGCCAGGAGGCAGCGCCATCGGTGCTCTCGATCGGGCCCAGAGGCTGTGGAAAGCGAATCTTGTGGCACTCAGTCTGTGAACGTTTGGGCCTCCATTTGCTGGAGGTGAACTGCTCTGAATTGGCTGGTGGTGCTGGTGCAGAAGCACGAGTACAGGAGCTTACTCAAGATGCTTCAAAGCTGTCTCCTTGTGTGCTATGCTTCCGCCGGCTCCATGCCTTGTCGAAAGCCGGGCCCTCCACATCACCCGCTGCGACGCTCCTGCAACACCGCCGCGTGGAAGAGTCCTTGAATGCTGCGCTTCAAGCAGTGAGGAGCCGTTCGGCCCATCCCTTGGTGTTGCTGGCGGGGTCCTGTGAGGATTTGGAGGAGATTGGCGGGCCCTTGAGACAGGTCTTCCGCCTTGAGATGGAGTTGCCGCGGCCCAGTGAGGCCCATCGCCTTGCCGTGATCTCTCGCTTCTTCTCGGCCACAGGCCGAGACGGGCATTCAAAGCGACACGTGAAGGACGTGAAGGACGTGCCCAATGGAGATGGTCACGAAGCACACAGCCGCTGGGGATGGCTTACAATTCAGATTCTTTTTGGTGATTGTATGCATTTGTGTTTGTGTGGGTGTTTGTGTGGGTGAGGGGAACATAATATAATTAATGATGATGCTTTGTGGCTTCGTGTTCAGTCCCCGCTGTCAAATCCAGGCCTTGGCGAGACCATGGCCAAGCTCACCGCTGGTCTATCTTACAGTGATGTGCGATCGGTTTGCACCGAGGCTGGGGTTGACCAACCGCATCCAAATCTAGGACCACAAGGTTGAAGCCTTCATCGATTTGAAGAAAACGTGTCGAAGCTCAAAACGGACACCTCCAGACCTCCGCCGACACCCTTCTTCAGACATCGAATCTACCGACTCGGCCGCGCCAGGTCTTGATGTCCTTTCCCTCATGTGCCCTGGAGCTGCCAGCGCCGTCGGACCTCCAAGATGCCATCGAGCAGTCGGTGAAGCGCCTGCAGGGCGGCTCCAAGGTCGCGGTGACCCTGGCGTCCAAGGCGCGATCTGACCTGCTGAGCGAACCCGAAGACGGAATAAAATATGCTGCGATGCAAATGTCAGCTTTTAGTAGCTATTCTGAATTTTAGCTTTGTTTTGGAGAGAGGGCTCCGTGCAGTACACTCATCTGAATCAAGAACATCCCGCTCTTCTGAATGGATCACAGATCGAAGACTCATCATGAGATGGCAAGGGCATAGCGGTGCAATAGTCTACATCTATATATGTGTATATCTATATATTTTCTTTCACTGAGTTTGGGTCGGACATGCCGATTTCCAGTGATTTTTTAATGCCAGGTCCAATGGGCTGATGTTGGCGGACTTCAAGATGCCAAGGACGAGATCATCAACTGTATCACGCTGCCTCTCTCCCAGGGAGACATGTTTGCCGGGCAAAAGGCCCGTCTTTTTGCTTTTGGTCCCCTGCGGTCGCTCGTGTGACATGGGTCGTTCGGTGTCGCACGGTTTCCCCCGCGAGTTCACGGGCCGTCGCCCGACCAGGTCCGCAGTGGAGTTCTCCTCTTTGGACCTCCGGGCACCGGGAAGACCTTATTGGCGAAGGCGGTGGCCACCGAATGCAAGGTTCACTTCTTGAGTGTGAAGGGACCCGAGCTCTTGTCGATGTACATCGGTGAAAGCGAGAAGAACGTGAGGCCCGGGCAGTGGCAGAGGCTGAGTGGGTGGTCTTCAGGGGGTAGAAAGGCAGCAAAGCAACGGCAGAGCTGCCAAACCCCAACTTGCCACTAGTTGAGGTCATGTGCCTGATGCTTCACTTGGGATACTTTCCCACTCCAACCTATTTGCAAATTTCCTCATTCAGACAGCAACCCCCGCACAGGGACAACTCGACCGGCACGCTCAGCTCTCAGGTGAGCACCCTGAGGTCCAACTCAACTTGGACCCTTTTCACTTCCCCTTTGTGGCATTGGGATCAACCAGAATGACATCCCCATTGGAATGAAGAATGGCAAACCAGCCAATTGCCCACCTCTCACCTCGCCCACTTCCGACTCCGCCCGAACTCCCCAATCCCCCATGGAGGTCGCTCTTCCAGAACGCCCGTGACCTGGCGCCCTGCGTCTTGTTCTTCGACGAGTTGGACTCCCTGGCGCCCGCGCGCGGCCGCGGCAGCGACTCGGGCGGCGTCATGGACCGCGTGGTCTCGCAGCTGGTCACCGAGCTGGACACCATGCCCGCCACGGCAGCGCGGCGTGGGGGGGTGGGGTGCCGGGCTTGCGGCGGGGGGGTGGGGTAAGTGTGAAGGGTGGAAAGGGGTGCCTGTTTTGGGGGGCATTTTTTCTAGGAAGGTGGGAGGGATTTGAAATTTGAAGTGAGCCTTTTGGTGGGCCCAACCTCCCGCCCCTCCCGCCTCTTCGGCTCCGAACGCCCTGCGTCCGCGGTCCGCGTTTCTAAGGTCTTCATGGTGGGCGCCACGAACCGTCCGGACCTGTTGGACCGATCCCTGCTGCGGCCGGGGCGCTTGGACCGGATGGTCTACCTGGGCGTGGCCTCGGACAAGCGGCCCCTGCTGAAGGCGATCTCCCGGAAGTTCGTCCTGGCGAGCGAGCGGGAAGGGTTGCTGGAGTGTGTGGCGGAGCCTTGGTGGGAAACGCTGTCTTCACCAAAGGGCGCTTTGATGATTTTTGAGGCGCTTGTAATTTGTGGAAGGTTGGAGTCTTTTCAGGTCTCTTCATATATACTTTCACTCTTGATGTCTCTCCTCTCCTTCTTCTTTGGGTGTGTGGTTTTGTTGATGGAGGGCGTGCCATGCCCCCACATGAGCTCATAACTGCTTTGGCTCGTCCTCCTGACTAAGGAGCAGTGCCCCACGAACTTGACAGGGGCCGATGTCTCTGTGCTCTGTGCAGATGCCTATGCGATCGCTCAAAGGGAGCACATCGCGCAGCTGCACGAGTTGGCCGAGGGGCTGAAGGTGCAGATCAGCAGCCTGCTGCTGTTTTTGGACGCTTGGGAGGCGCGCGTCTTTGAGGAGATTTCTGGGTGTTTTGGGCTAAACGAAGCAACATGAAGAAGGAGGCAGAAACAGACGAGAAGATGAGAGACGTCATAGGCTCATAGACGACCTGAAGATGTTGAAGCAACAGTTTTGTGCTGGAAGGTGCATCTCTCAAGCTCTTCAGGGAAGACTCGGACCTTCCAGGGCCTATGGACGGAGCAGAAGATGTCAGCCCAGCTTGAGGTAGTGCAGCTTGGCACAAGGGTTCTTCGATGTCATTGGCACAGGTCCAAAGCTTGTGACACAATTCACTTTGTCTTTGGGCGGGGGGCGGGTTTTGTGTCCTTTTTGTCGTAGATCTGATGGCATGAGGTTCCCAGCTTCCCGCGATGCATCGTCCAGTGTCCAGGACTCAGCAGAGTCAGCCTGACATGAAAGGAGAAAGGCCTCAGAAGGACTGCTGTCCTTCTCAGATTTGCTTCCAACAGGATGTCCACGTCAAAACAGCGTCAAGCAGGGTGAGAGTTGGTTCCAAGCCCGCGGCGCACGAGAAAACCAGACCAGCTTACCTGAGGTCAGCCTGAGGTCACCAGAAATGCCACCAGCCAACTCAGTTCGACCGGGCGGTCGATGCCCATCGATCGCCAGACATCCGAACGGAAGGACCGGTCCTTCCTCTGAGGCGAAGCCGAAGACCTCTGGCTTGGTGCTGTATGGTAGCCAGCAGTGCGAGGTGGCGAAACCTGGGGTGGGCGGACTTTTGGTCTGTAGGCAGTAGGGAAACACAGGGGAAGTTCGTGTTTGGGTCGAGAGTCTATCGCTTTCGGCCAAGCAGGCTTTTGTGCTGGCTCATCATACTGGCACTCTTGATCGTAGCTTCTGGGCAGGCATTCGGCATCATGAGCATATGGGGCGCAGAGGCCGCCTGCCTTGTAGCTCAGGTTTTCGTGACGTCAGTGCTGCGGTTGGGCTTCTCTTGAGCCAAGACTCTGCAGCAGACATTGCGCAAAGAGCCTCGCTGGAATTGGAAGGGGCCGGAAGAGCCTCGTGGGAGTAGTGAAGCACCTATGTGTGGCATCAGGAGTGTTACAAGCAAACGATGCTTTTTGACTTGGATCAGTGGCAGCTGTATGCAGCTGTGCCGTTGAGCCTTGCAGAAGCTGAACGAATGCAACTCTCGGCAATTTGACCTTGCTCAGTATTCAAAAAACTTCAATCCTGGGGGGTTGTTTATGGGATCACACACACATATATATATAATTATATATACATATTGAAGTGATAACTTCCTAACCTCTGGGGTACTCCTCCTCATTCACTTTGACCTTTGACCGTAACAAAAGCCAATGCTGGGCATAAGATCGGGGCTGATTCGGCCGCTCTGGGTGGGAGAGAAACTCCTTTGAAGGGAACAAACGGGCCAGATGATTCTGGGAGTTCTGAAGGAGGGAACCTCTGCCATGTCAGGCTGTTTCCAATGACTCACGTCTATAAAGTACTATAAGGCTGCCGCCTTAGCGCCTTACTGGCCTGTCTTTAAATCCAGCCTGATCTTAAGGATGGCTTGCCACCTGTGAGGGTGTTGCGCTGAAGATCATGCACCTTGGCCAAATGGCGGTCCTTCAGGATGCCAAATGCGAGGAACCGAGGTTAGCCAGATGAGAATCATTAGACAGGGCCAGGGAGCAATCTTAAGAAAAACACGAAGCGCTGGGCGACCTGCGGACCAACAGCGTTTTTGTTCCCAAACGCTTTACTGACGCCGACTAACATCCAGCTGAAACTGATTGAGGTTTGCGCTGGCAGAACGCACTCTGACCTGCCCAGATCGGCTCGCCAGGTCCTGCTTCAGCATGTTGGAGGCGTTGCAAGTTCGTGTGGGCCAGAGGCGAGTGCGTTCGGCGTTGCGTTCCCTAGGTGGACCAGCTCAATGGCTTGATCTCTTAGTGCAGCTTCAGCATGTCCCTCTTGTGGTGCAGACGTGCACATTGCATATTGATGCATATTGAACAGATGTTGCTACGTGCTCGTTTCTCTGGTTTGGGGAGTTTTTGTTGTTTCTCGGGCCTCTGGTCCAAAACTGTCTTGGGGTGTCGAAGGCATTTCCAGGAAGCTCTCTCCAACCTCCAGCCTTCAGTGCCTATGGAGGTTGGGGGCTCGAAGAGTCTGAGAGAGAGAGAGAGAGAGAGACGTATTCTTTGTGGACGACCAGCTGCGAATGCGCAAAGAACGGGAAAGCCATGAATGGCTGCCTGCCGAGGACTTGCATCGCTATGAGAAGTTACGGGGCGAATACCAGAACACCAAAGCCTGAGCGCAAAAAGGATGTGCACGACAACATGCCACAAAACGAAGGAAACAAGGGCAGAAAGACTGGAGCATTGGGATCCTTCAATGGAAGGACGTCCTCCAAATTCGTCCAAGCACTTCGACCGTCTCTTCACCATCTCCTACGGACCGACCGACCGGCGACCATATCTCCGCTCGACCGAGGCCCAGCTCGAAGCCAGGGGAGGTCATTGACCCGGAGCTTTTGGAGGCCGAGTTTCGGTCGCTCGCGCGAGCGTCGGAGCGGGCGAAGACGGCCCGAAAGCGCCTCGTCCCGTTTGGGGCCCAAGTCGTTTGGCCGAGCTGGTTTCAGTGCTGGTTTCATCTGCCAACGAGCATTGTTGGGAGCAACCACTCGATTCTTTTTAACATTCACTCTGATCCACTTGTGACCGTTTGCATCACAGTGGATGGCACAACCTGGCAAGATCATTTTTTACAACATCTTGTTTGTCCGAATGAATCATGCAACCTTCCCAGGCAGAATCCAAAGAGGCCAAGGCTCGGAAATTTGGAGGCGGCGGCGACTTGGCCAAGAGACGAGTCCCAACCGACATGCGGTTTCAACCGACAGTGAAGCGCAGTGGGCAGTGCGCACGCTCAACGTTACTGTAGCAGGTTTCTCTTGATTTTCCGTGCAACAAGATGGAACTCCACCTTTTGTTGGCTTCTCTTGCTTTCCCTGCCAACTGCTACAGTACCCCAGTCTGTTGGCAGCTTGCCCTGCCAACCTGGATGGTGGCACCCAGGACTATCATGGGATGTTCCAGGGGTTCCTCCTCCAGACTTTTTCATCGAATCTGATGAGCCCGGATCCTCAGGTTTTATGGCGACGTTCAGCGAGTTCAGGGCATGGAGATCAAAAGAAAAGAGAACCGGATCAAAACAACAAAATACATCCTCTACTCTGCTGGTTGCCTGGTCTCCTGGTCCGCCGGAGACCGGAGGGTCCCGTGGTCTTCATATTAGCTTCTCGGTTTCATGCTCCTTCGATTGGAGTGTATCACCTGCGCATCTTGGGGTGTTTCGCGCATTCTGCGAAAAGCGCTGCGAAAAAACCTTTTTCGGGAATATTGTGAGTACCACACGCATCCACGCATATTTTGCAAGCCTTTTGGACTGCGATTTGGCACCATCTTGCAACCACAACTTAGCTTGCCCCCTTCCCCCAACCCTCCTCCAGCAACAAAACTGCAATACTTCTTCCAAAGCATCGCGCCTGCCAAAAAAAAACCGCTCTTTAAAGGTCGGCCCACTGTATGCCCTGCAAAAAGGAGCAATTCCTCTTCAAGTCTGCTTTTATGTTGCCTCTGCCTTTACTTGTTTCGTGTCATTCTTTTTCATGTCAGCACTCACATGAGAGCACGATATCAGAGCACACACATGACAGCCCATTCACACGAGAGCACACATGCACCAAACATTTAGCTTAACACCAATAATCTGCACCTTGAACATCACAAAGTGCCGCGCCTGCCACAACATCTGCACATTAAGGGTTCACAAAATGCATCAAAATGCCGTGCCTGCCAGGAAAGTGCACTGGGAATAGTTTTTTGGATCCTGTTATTTTTTGATTCGTTTTGTTTGGTGCCGACCATTTTTGGTTGTTAGATGCCTCACCCTTTTTCAGCAAAGGAGGCCTGAGGCCAAGGGTCCAGCCTCTGACCGTGTTCCGTTTGGCCCGACCTCCCAGCCACTCAGGCCTGGGACGCTCTGTCGTGCGCAACTCTCAGTGTTCAGCAAGGGCATCAAGGAATCCGCCTTCTCACGCGTTCAGCGCTGCCTCCCATGGCCCCGGTGGGCGCGCTTGAAAGCGGCTGAAGCCAGCTGTAAGGGATGACGACATTTTTCGTTGGGCCGACACGAATCTGGATGTATTTTTTCAAAGGGATGCCTGCAGGCACGAAGAGTTGGGGCATGTCAAACATGTATCATGTAGACTTTTGCATGTTGATGGCGCAGCTGTCCTTGGCCCGATGTTTGATCCGTTTAGTCTTCAAGAGTCTTGACCGTTATAGTCATGCTCAACTTCATCACCGACCAGGCCCCGGAAGTCCGTGACCCGTTCATGACTTGCCTTGGATCATTTTTGCAACTTGGATGGCCTGGCTAGACTCCACCAGGTGACGGGAAATCATGAGAGCGATCATGAAGGAGGAGGCGGCCAGCCACCGATTAGTGGATGTGATGCTGTCAGGAGACATTTCGCACCGCAATTCTGCAGGTCATTGCAACCCATGTTGCTCGATTTGTATGGGGATCTTGCTCATCATCATTGCTCCTTATGCGACTGGGCTGCGGCTGAGAAAAACCCAGACGCGTCAGCCTTCAGCTTTGAACCATTTGTGGAGGTCATTTGGAACACAGAAGGTGACTATGTGAAGACTATGAGGGTGTGGCTGCCCAGCCCCACACTGCCTCCGGCTGGGACGCTGGATCCGGTGCGAGAGGACGCAGCGGGACCGTGCTCCCCTTTCCGACCAATAGACCCACCCGGCGGTGGGTCCAAATCGGGGGGCCGACCAGTTAAACCTGTCTGGGGCAGGTCTTTTGCTACAGGGTTTGGACCCGATCCCCAAGGACCAAAAAGGTGGTTCTTAGTTCTTCCCTTCCTCATTCCCGACTTGTTTCAGTCAGTTAGTTGGTCAGTCAGTCAGCTCAGTCTATAGAAAACCCATGCTTCACTTGGTCTGCTGTGGTCGGTGAGCCCAACAAACACCGACCACAGGCCCTGGATGCTGCGGGGAAGACGGCTGTAGAGCCATGTCCCTACAATGACGCTGGCTCGTTGGTCGCCTCAGCGATCGCCACGAGACGTGTCCACGGTGGAGACGCACCGCGCAGCAGTTTTTGGGCGACGGGGACGGGGGACCATGAGAAATCCTTCCGTTGGAATCGCTTTTTTTGGGCCAGAAACTTCCTTGATCCATCCAACTTTGTTGAGCGAAGGTTGGCTAGAGGTCTGGCCAGGACGAAGTCAAACCTTTCCAACGGACTCTGGAGTTTGGGCGGTTTTTGCTCGGTTTCGAGTGCCCCGTGAATGGACTCGTGGGGAAAGCTGCGAAGATTTCAGTCTGGGTGCACATCCGAGTCATGTTTGCAAGCTCTTTGTCTCTGTTTGGTTGAGATGGAGAGGTGTGCAAACTGCAAGTTGGACACATTGAAAGAGCAGCAGCTGGTGACTTGGCCGCTAGCAAAGGTGTGTTGTCAGTTGTCGATGGTTCAACAATCACTCAAGCTATGCTCCTGGCTGAGACTGCAAGGTGTTCCTGGCTTGTGACTTCGAGAACATGAAGACCCTCTCCAACCTGCAGAAGGTTCTTTCGCATTGTTTAAGCGCTTCCTGCCTCCTGCTGTTTGGCCTTTGCTTTCCCCGTGACTGGCACGCCAGGATGGCTTTGGGTTAAGTGCATTGGCACCCATGGTGAATGGCGTGGAGAAGGCGGTGAAATTCAGCTGGAGCCTCCGCTGATCCAGCCGGGAGTCCCCAAACGACACATGCAAAGGCCCGAGGGTCAGGAGTCTCGACGTTCGGACGAAGGGGGCACAAGCGGGAGTGATCTAGTCGTGTCACTGTAAGAAGATAGAACACAAGATACGCTCACATACACCTACCAAACACCGTATGCCCCATGGCACGGAAGGAGAGGGAGAGAGAGAGAGAGAACCAACAAAAAAAAGGAACACACACAAAGAAAAAAACCCGGTGGCAGACCCCGAGGAGTGCTGAGATGTATCAGTGGAAGCAGACGAGCAAAGACCCGATTAAACTTCAGATGGATGTGATGGACTGCACTGCCGCTGGAACGCTGGACGATGACAGCGAAGCTGGGTGCGAGAACAGCGAGCGTGGCGCGAGAGACGTGCAGTTACAGTAGCCGTAGCCTTTCCGTGTGAGACATACATTCTGACTCCAAAAACTCCTGCTGGTTCTAGAGGAAAGTAGTCTTCCAAGGGGCAATTTTCCCACTTCCATGTTATAGTAGTGAGTCAGACTCTACATTCTGACTTCATCAGGTGTATAGATAGGGTGAACGTGTATATATTCTGTGGCCACCTTCTCACACTCACATACTTTTGCCCAACTTCCGTTTCATTTCAATGAATCTGGTTCAGCTCCCAATGCAGAGCTGTCGATAGGATACCCCAAGGACCCGGATGGTTCTGCTTCTTTGTCACCCAACCGGAGCGTGGCATCAACCCACCGCCATCCCACTTCCCAAGGACCCGGATCAAACCAAGCGGAGGCAGTTGTGCTGTGCCGGGCCCTCCACGCCTGGCCGTAAAAAGCTTCTCAGCGGAGCAGGGCCCCACTACTGTTCTGCGGTCGAGTCTGGAGCGAACGTCGAAAACAGAGGGGAGAAAGCTGAGAAACCTGCAAGCCCTCTGCCGGAGTTGTTTGGGGGTTTGGATGTGTTAAACTGTTTGGCATTTCACAGTGCCGCCCTGCCATTTGCTTCAGTCAACCTGTTGTGACTGTGTCACTCAACCTTCTATTTTGCATCGTGCGCATGAGGTTCAAGGCGGAATACTATGGAGCCACCAAAACGTGTCAGCCCTACAAGGGAGCCACAGGCAACCAGGAGCTGCGCGCCGCGGCAGCCTTTACCCAGCAGGGCACCTAAATGGGTGGACCATTGATGGGCCGTGCACGTGCAGGAGACAGCCAGCAGCTTCGCCATTTCAGCGGAGGATGACTTGGAGGATGACTTGGAGAAGGGCGTCGAAGAGTTCGAGGCGCGCTTGGATGAAACACAGAATCGATGACTTCTTTTAAAGCCATTTAATTTCTTGAATTGGGGAGTTCGTCCGGTTAGATGTGCCCACCATTCCGGACGACTGTCCGCTTGGGGCATCCTTGCTGGTGAGGAGATTTCAGCAGAGGAGTCACCCGGAGAGGTGACCAAGGATATGTTGAACACGTCCTCCAGCAGGGTGGAAAGAAGCTCAGCGGCAAACGTTTAACAACATGTAGTCTCTGGAGAGAACCTGCTCAGCCTCCACACTAAACAGCGGTGGGTCTGGATCGGAGGATCACAATGATCACAATCCCAGCTGTAACTAAGAACCTCAAGCTCCATCCTGTTCTCAGCTTTTGTGCTTGTTCCTCTTTTCCAAACACCAGTGCCAGGAATCCTGTGTGTTTGCTGCCTTTTGACCCTACAATGTTGGTGGAGGAAGTGATCCAAAATCAAGAGCAAGTCTGAGCTCACTCGTCGCTCTCCTCAGGCATCTCGGTGCGCCGTGCCAGTGATGTGGGCCGTGTCGGTTTGCTGCGCAAAGGAGGCAGCAGCGACTCGCGCCGCCGCAGGACCAGCTTCACCTGTCCGGGGGCCTGGCTTGGCCTGGCCTACGGGGGCCTGTTCGACGGGTCTGACAGGCGGTGGTTGGAGGTTCAGGTGGAGAAAACACCGGTCCGGAGTCCAGATGAGTTCTTGTTTTGCGGCGCAGATCTCTGAACTCCATGCTCTTTGGAAAGAAGAGCCCTCTTCCTGCTTCGAGGGCATGGGATGCGGATCCGTGGGAACTGAGGTTGGAATAATTAAGGGCATCGGCATTGGGGTGTGACTCAAGGGGACACCGCCCGCCAGCATCGGAAGTGTTTGTTTTTCTCAGAGGATTTGCCAGTGCCCCAGTGCCACGCTGCGAGGCGAGTTTCCGTGCTACCATTGGGACCAAGACTGGTTCAGCGAGGCCGCCACTGATCCCAAGGCTTCCTGGCACACACTTGCCACTATGTTTCTTGCCGTCGATTCTTGTGCACTAGCACAAGCTTGGTGAAAGTCTGTTTGTGTGGATGCTGAGACTTGGTCACCAACACCAACCTTCATCTCGCAGGCAGGAAGTCAAGCTGTCAAGCTGTCTTGATTTTCAGCTTCGCTCTCGTTTGTCAGCGCGTCTCACCAGGAGGTTGGTTGACTGTGTCAAGAACCAAACCGGGCTGATGATATAGAAACTTGACATGAGCTCTAACTTGGCGGCAGGTTGGATGGCTGAAAGGTGCTCCTGCCAAGAACCTCAATCTTCCATACAATGACGCCACGAGCTTGGGCCTTAGATTTGCTCTCCCGAATCAGTACTCAACGGAACACTGGGTGCGTACCAGGCAACGCAGGTTCCAAAAGAACATAAGGCAATCTTGGAAACTAGATTTGCCTGGTTCAGATGATTCTGGGAGTGGCTTCAACAAGGCAGACAGGTGCCAGTGTCCCCTTTGGAGGATTGCGTGGCTCTATGGTACTCGCTGCTCTCCTGATTCAGCACTTACTGTATGTATTACAACTATTGGACCGCCCATTGGGTGACTGCACCCCACGTTACGCAACGAGCCGCGCAGGCGCAACTTAAATGAAACATATATTCTGTACCCACCAGACTGAGGAGCAACAATAATCTGAGACATCACTAGGCTCTCCCACTCAGCCTCCCCCGCTTTTTGACCCTTCCGCGCTTCCGGGACCCTCCTCACCGCCCCGTTCGGCCACGCGGTTGCCCGCGCCGCGTTTACCGAGGCTTCATCTCGGACGTGACGATCGGCGGCATTGAGATCGGCACCTTCGATCCGATCAGCGGCGCCCTGGGGTGCCTCGGTGGGGCGGTGGGGCGGTGGGGCATGGGGAAGGGTGGGGTGGGATGTGGGGGTAGAGGTGCATGCCAAGGGGATGGGGAACGTGTGGTCGCGTGCGATGCCAGGTCAACCACTGCCAGGCTGAGCCAAACCGGTGCGTCGCAAGGTGGGGGGTCCGACCGCACGCCGTTCTTCGGTGCCACCGGGACCATCGGCTGCGACGGGCTCCCTCCTCGGCGGTTTCGGCCGTGAGGCGAGGATTTGTCGACTGCAGTGGCGCAGAAAGAGACCTGGGATGGAGTGAATGTCACCACCTACACGCGTGATGTGGAGTGGACGGCCAAGGAGGCCTTCATCGGGGCCAAGACCAATTGCTTGGCCACTTGGCGCTCACGACAGCGGAGCAGGGGACGAACAGAGCGGACATCGATGCCGAAATCGATGCCTTCGAGGTGAGTCGTCGAGCTGCGACCTACCAACCCGGGGATTTGAGGAGCGTGGCTGGAGGGTTCCGACTAGCACCGGGCGGCTGAGAGGTTCACTGGTTTCGATGCGGTTCAAGGGATCCATTTCATCTCTCTCTCTCTCTCTCCCTCTCTCCCTGTAGGGTGCTGCTATAACTATTCATTCAGACTGAGTCAGACTGAACTGAGTGCAGCGGCTCATGGTTTCACGCCGTAGTTCGGGCCACTCTTGCCATGCAGCCTGCGGCTTTTCCCCGGCGATTTCGGCCCTCCGAACCGGGCCACCGGCAGGATGTGCTTCCAGCGCTCCACCCTCAGCAAGGTGTCGGTCATTGCGGCGGTGACCAAGACAGCGGCAGGGGGTGTTTTGGCCCAGGGGTGGGGGGTGGGTGATGCCTGGATGTGGCGGTGAGTTGATTCACTTATTGGACTTGTTTGGGGTGCCACTGTCTTGCAGAGTCATCGTACACACACACACACAGAAGACAGATGCATACAGGTGCGTAGTACACGCCCCACATATTATCACGTATGTATTATATATATATATATTATATATATATATATATTAATACATTATATAGCTACATGTTCGTACACTTACACACACACATATATATATTGAACTTGAGTCTAGCAATGAAGTAGAACGAAGTGCGTACGAGAGTTTAGCGCAAAACCATACATGGTAGCTGTAGCAATTGGGCTAAAAGGGTTACACAAGTGGGTGACCCCTCCCTGGGTCATGCCAGGGAGGTGGACTAAAGATGAGGGCTCCCTTGAACTTCAACGAGGACGGTATTTGGAGGTGGGTATCCGCGGAGATGATGGAAAAGTTCAAGGGAGCGCCATTATCGGGATCAAGGCAATCGATGGGAAAAGTGGTGGACACCAGATCATACGAGCAGCGTACATTGGCTGCGATGAAGAGCATTTAGACTGGTGGTTCATGGAAGGAGCGGGAAAGAAGCTCCGAACCGATGGCTGGTATCACCTGTGCTGTGAAAAACCTAGTGGTTGCAGTGCAGTGAAAGGAAAACCGGACATCATCCATGCCAGCAAGATGAGAAGTGTGGGCCCCGGGGACTTCGATGCCAGGATCCTCACCTTGTTCGCGAAGAAGGGCCTGAAGGAATCGTTCTGGCGACAGTTTGGTGAATACAGTAAGTGGCAGGAGAAGAACCTTAATGTCCCAAAGCTGAGTGGGAAGGGGACGACGGTGTTGAAGAAGCCCCCAACGGTGGACTGGGGGGATGAATCCGACGAAGACGAAGAGGACATTGAGGAAGAGGATGAGGAATCAACAGAGGAGAAGGCTTTTAAAGAGAGAGATCGAAAAGTCAGTGAGAAGCTACAGGATTTAAAGAAGAAGCTGGCCGAGGCTGAGGCAGAAGGGGACGAGCTTCGTCGTATGAGAGACGAGAAGAAACGCAAGAAGATGGCAGAAGAGACTGCGAAGAAAGAGAAGAAGAAGAAAAAGAAGAAAGATAAAAAGAGCAAGAAAGAGAAAAGAGTCAAAGGAAAAGGAAGTGGTGAGAGTTCGGAGCCAGCTCCTGCAAAGAAGAAGGCAAAGAGCCTGCATGACCCTCCAGAACAAGGGGGAGTAAAGGAAAGAGCCCTCGAGAAGGGGGAGAGGAAGAGGAAGAAAGGAACGGGCACCAGCAGCAGTGCCGATGACCCGGCTCCCAGCCGTGGACTTTTCAAGGCATCCCGGAAGGAGGTAGCAAGGTCCACTACATCAGGACGAGATCGGGGACCTTTTGGTGAAGGAGCAGGTGTTGCCTTCAGCTCTGAGTCCTCTAGTGACGAATCGGAGTCTTTTCAGAAAGCCCCCTCCAAGTCCTCGCAGAGCGCCCAAATAAGATTGTTGGGCTACAGCAGGAGGCATCCCGGAAGACTGGCTTCGTGAATGCTGCTCCGTATGGAGAAAGCGACAGCCAGGGGCTTGGAGGGGGCGGATCAAGGCAGCAAAGTGCCCCCAGTGGCACTAAACCATATGCTGACCGTGATGTTCCCATCACTGGCAGGGAAGCTGGGCATGAGGTCACAGCGCGAGTTGAAGACCTTGGGCCACACCCTCGACATGACGGCCAGGGGCGAGATGAATCGAGCAGCAGATGTACTGGCTCAGAGGATCAAAGCTCTGGAGAGAGCGACCCACGAGGGCCATTGGGGAGCAGCACAATTCCTGGAGTTGCTGGAGCCGGAGGGAAGCACTCTCCTAGAGCGGGACGAGGAGGTGTACTTAGCCAAGGAGTACCTGGTGGAGCAAAAGCTTCGAACGTACGACAGGCCTCGAGGAGTCAAAGGAGATCAAAGGAAAGGCGCAGGAAAGAAAGGCAAGAACGAAGACGACAAAGGAAAAGGGAAAGGCAAGCAACGCCTCAAGAACCAAGACAGGCAGGAATGAGTCATGACCCCACAACCGAGGGATCGGCGTGGGATGTAGCAGCGGGTTTTTGGAAAGGCAATATCAGGGACATTGTGGATGAGGAGCATTTGCCCCTAGAATTCATGGGATTTCTTTGCGCTTTCTTACCGGCTATGCCTGGTCGAATGGGGACAAAGATCAATGAAGCAAGACTCGCCGAACAGGATGACTGCATGAGCGGACCACATCGTGTGGCTACGGCCCGACACCTCTTTCCAATTCGCAGGATGGCAGCTAGGAATCATTTAGACACTTTGGACGATGGCGAGCGAACTTGGGTGCTGGGAATCATAGATGTTCTGAACTTCCACTATTGTGGTCGGCATGCAAAAGTGGGACCTAAACAACTTTCAGGTCCTCAAAGGCAGATGCTGCAGATGATTGCGGAAAGTGTGCATGCCTTTGTCTTGGGTCAGAAGACCATTCCCAAATTTGACCAGGTCTTAGAGGACCTTGGGAGAGTGAGGTTCGATTACGCGTCGCAGTGATGGAAGATCTTGAAGCGGCAAAGGTGATCCCGTGCTGGCCCAAACCAGGAGAAGCAGGAGTTCAACCAGCCGAACGTTTCGTTCGTGCCGAGGTCAAGGATTGGCTTCTTGACCCCAGAAAGTGCTTGCTGCCACAGACTCACTGGCCAGCATCTCCCCCTCAGAGCCGAGTTCGTGCCTCTGATCGTGAGTGGGAGCTTATAGTTGAGGCTGCCTACGAACGGGGGATGATGAGGAGAGTCTACGAAGATGAAATTCTCCGAGACACTCAGGGTCGGCTTGTGTTGAATGGGGCCGGTGGTGTGAGGAAATTGAAGACCATTGATGGAGTAGAGCAAACTCTTCAACGGTTCATTTCCATATTGGTGCCATCAAATTCGTACCAAGAGCATATGATCGGAGATGACTGTCACCTGCCGTATCTAGGACAGATGTCCATGATGCGGCTTGGGGAGGAGGAAATGCTTCTTCTAGATAGCAAAGACCTCACATCGTGCTTCAACTTGTTCTCTCTTCCAGAGTCTTGGGGCGGTATGCTCACCTTTTCCAAGCAAGTTGACGCCAGAGTATTCGGAGGAACTGCTGGAGAGATGGCGTGGGTTGGAATGACGGTAGTCCCGATGGGATGGATCAACTCCGTCGCGTTGATGCAGACAGTTGTGCGGTCCCTTGTATTTGAAGAAAGTGGCATTCCTCCCGATAGCGAGATCTCGAAACTCAAGAGGTTCCCGACTGACAGCTCTGCCTCTTTGGTTTACCTCGATTCTTTCGACAACTTGAGAAAGATCGAGCGAGGACTACGGGAAACTTTGGAAGGGCAGGGCTCAGCAAGGCATGAATCCTTTGTGCAAACTTGCCAAAAATATGGATTGGCCCTGAATAGCGGGAAACGATTGGTTGGAGCAGTGCGAGGGACGCTCCAAGGAGGCGTGAGTCAGGCATGTTTTGCGCCTCTAAGGACAAGATCAGTAGCTTCATCGGGTACGGTGCAGCCCTGCTCGCCAAAGAAAACGTGACTGAGTTTGAGCTCAGGCACTTTGTGGGCAAAGGTTTGTTCTTGATGGCCTTCCGGAGAGCAAGCATGGCCTTCTTTGAGAAGGTCTTTTATGAAATAGAAAAGTTGCGGAAAGCCGGAAAAGGGCAAGCTTTGTCGAGCGAGTGCCGCGAGGAGATTGTGACGGTGATGATCCTCACTCCTTTGTTCAGGATGAACCTGCGAGCCAAGACGGATCAGGAGGTGACCATTACAGATGCTTCCCCCCTTGGGGCAGGAGGGGGCATTGCAAACATCTTCAAACGTGAGCCAGACACCGTGGAGCATGACAAGCGGGTGTGTTTCAACTGCCTCAAGGAGTTCACGGACGGGCGTTACCCATGCCCAGCCGCATGTGGTGCCACTATGTGTGGGCTAGAGTGCGTATGGGATCACAGAGAAGTTGACTGCAAGAGGTTGCGCTATCCGATGCCCAAGTTTGGCGAGCGCTTTGCGGGCAAGTCAGCTCCCCTTAGCCATGCCGTGGGGAGAGAAGGGGGAGTTGACCTGCAGCCACCGTATGACCTGCACTTTGGCTTTGACTACTTTTCGGACGATGGGCGAAAGTTTTTGGAGGAGCTAGAAAATGATCCATTGCTAGCAGCCAAGCAGTGGGCACCTTGCTGCAAGCTCTTCTCCCGAGCCCGAGGGAGATCAATTACCCTGCCCAGCGGGCGGGTGATCCAAGGACCTCAGCCTGTCAGGGATCGAGGCCACCTGATGGGATTCAGCAACTTGAGTGCAGATATGAAACAGCGACTGAGGAAGAGCAACAAAATGGCCCTCAAGGCCATTCGACGACTCGAGTCCGCACAAGAACGTGAGGCAGTGGCAACGCTTGAGCACCCGTACAATAGCTGGCTATGGTATTGCAAACCTATCATGACCCTGGCAGAAGATCATTTTGACTATGCTGCTGGGAGCATGTGCTGCTTTGGAGGAGAACGCACTAAATGGTATAATGGTATGCACTCTTCGGCAATTCCCCGGAAGTTTTGGATGCAGTGAACCGCCCAGACTGTCCAGGGCACGAGAACCTACGTGATTATGAGGTTTGTAAAGGACCGGAAGGCCGGCTCATTTTTGACACAGAAGAGGAAGCAATTTACCCACGTAGGTGGTGCACGGCTTATGCCAAAGGGTTAAAGTGCTCGCTGGAAAGAACGGGGAAAATTCCGAGGGCAAAGTTTGAAGGAAGATGCAAATCAATCATGGAGGATTTGGGGCAATCCACTCGCCGGCTTCAATCCGAGGCCGTGCAGCGAAATGCAACGGAAGAGATTGTCCACATGGAGAATTCAATGCAGACAGGGAGGGAGCCCGAACATCTTGAAGAGATGATTCGTCGGCTCAGCCTCCGGGGCACCGAGCTGAAGCTCCACCTGCAGACAGACGAGGGCAAGGAGCCGCAAGAGATTCCTTACCCGGCGTACCGGTGGTTGTTTAGGAAAGTTTTCAGTTACCGGTGGCACAAAGATAGTCACATCAACATCGGAGAGTTGAATGCGTTCATCTCGATGTTGGAAAGGCGGGCAACACAAGAGAGCAAGCACAGCAGTCGTTACCTGGCCATCGTCGACAGTATGGTGGTCAGACGAGCAGTTGGCAAAGGAAGAAGCCCTTCTAAACCAATGAATCGCCTACTGCGCAAGGCAGCATGTATCCAGCTTGGAATGGATACTTACCCTCTGTTGGCCTGGACCATATCAAGGTGGAATTGGGCCGATGCGCCCAGCAGACACTTCGATGCCTGAGAGGAGTAGTTTGCAATTTGCCGGCCTTCAGAGGAGAACCGTGGCTGCCTACAAGACTGCGCTTGACCGAATGCTCGCATTCACAAAAAAAGAGTGAAACCGAGCTTGCCCGTACTTCAGACCTTGATCGTTTTTTAGCTGATTACCTTGAATGCGTGTATCAAGAGGGGGAAAGTTTAGCAGTTGCCGGGCATACGATGTCCTGCTTGAAGAGGTTTATCCCTACTTTGAGGTTGAAACTTCCAACAGCATCCCAATACTTTAGAAATTGGCAGCGTGTGCATGTTCCTCGACGAGCAACGCCAGTTAGCTGGAAATTGCTTCAGGCTATGGCGGCAGTCGTTTGGACAGCTAACTCGCCTAGTACTGCCTTTCTGCTGTATATTGGGTTCTTATGCTTGCTGCGTACTTGCGAGATGTTGTCGCTTCAGTACTGCCACATCATTCCGCACGCAACAAAACCCGAAGTCGTTGTCGTCGTGCCCTTTGCAAAAACATCGAACGGCAATCCTCAAGTGCTCCATCTTGAGGATGAAAATGTCTGGTGTTTAGCTCGTTACCTCAAGCATAAATTTGAGAGTAGGAACTTCATCTGGCAAGGCACAACAGCACAGTTTCGAAGTATGTGGAGAAAAACCCTTGAGATTCTCGGCTTTGACAAAGACGATTACTCTCCTTATGGAATTAGGAGAGGAGGAGCTACGTGGTTTTTCCTAGAGACTTCATCTATGGATGCTACGTTGGCCAGAGGCCGATGGGCTGCTTCTCGCACTGCTAAACAGTACATTGACGAAGGAACCCTTCGACTAGCAAGGTTGCAGTGGAATTCAAAACAAAGGACGACCGTGAAAAAGTGGTCGCTTAAAGGAACTTCCTTGTTCTTGCGGTTGAAAAGTGTGTGAACTTCTTTTTCCGTTCGACGGTGTCGCAGGCCGAACTTGGGGGTTGTGGGAGGTCTTTCTCTTTCTTGTTTTTTTCCTATTTCCTCTTTTGGAAGCTTTGCCACCCCCGTTGTCTTGTAAGTTCGTGCCAATATTTGGGAGTGGGAGGCTCTTGAGTGCTCCCAGTTGAGACCTTTCCTCCTAAGGATAAAGGTCTTGGCCTTTAGAGGT